TGGCTGGTTCTCTGACTCTCTGGCTAGCTGTCTCTATCTCTCTGTCTGTCTCTGGCTGGCTGGCTCACTGTCTCTTTCTGCTTGGCTAGCTCTCTGTCTCTCTGGCTGGCTGTTTCTGTCTCTCTGGCTGGCTTGCTCTCTTTGTCTCTGTTTTTGTCAGAAGGGACCCACTGGCCATTGGTTGGAGGCCTCCCTACGTTCTGGACATGTTTCCAGCTTGGAGGAGTCCAGAAAAGGGCACAACTTGGGACAAGGAAGGCTGGGCCTGGAGGACCAGGAAGTTCCTAGGTTTGGCTGCTCAACAGTTTCTGTGCTTGTCTCAGGGCGTCTCCTTGACTCTGTTATCTTTGGTTGATGTCACAGCCAAAGGAGGCAGCTTGGGTTTCTGCAGTCTTTGGTCATCAGCCTCGTCTCTTGGCTCATCAGAGACCTTGAGAATCTGGAGAGCAGTGGATTTCTGCTTCCAGGAGCCAAGATGGCGGAGTAAAAAACGTAGTCGTTCTCACCCTCCCCTATTAACTTCTGAAAACCCAGAAAATATCACCCCAGATAAAACCCAGGAACAGCTGAACCAGAAGAAGATGGGGTACAGCAGTGCAGTAGACCAGGTAGCTAGAGGGATTAATGGGAAAGGCCCCTTTTACCCCGGGGGAAGGGGAACAGTTTGGAACCAGAAGTCACCCAGCCAGCTAGTGGAAAGACCCACTTTAGCACACCAGGAGGAGATTCTGGTGCCTTGGCATTCTACAGCAGATGGGTTTCCCAGTGCCTCAGCAAAAATAAGGGAAGGAGCACCACAAAGGGCCCCAGGTGGATAAGCACCCAGCAGCATTCTTCCGAAAGGAGCTGAAGAAAGCAACCTAGAGTTGCCCAAAAATTCCAGCCTTGTTGATTCCAGCCCAACACCATGTAAGCTGTCAGAACCCTACAGCCTCCAACTGCCAACCAGGAGGAGATCCCAAAGCCCAGGTGGTCGAGCAGGCAAACACCAACAGCTGGACCTCCGAGTGCCTCAGTGAGGGCAGGGGAACCGGTGGAAACCAGCTCAGAAAACCACCAGGTGCCTCAGCATTCTACAGCAAAGAAGTCTCCCAGTGCCTCAACAGAACTAAGGGAGGCAGCATTGCAAGGGGCCCCAGGCAGATAAACACCCTGCAGCACCCATCTAAAAGGAGCTGAGCAAAGCTAAAGGAAAGGAAAAGCAGGCAACCTAGAATTGCCCGAAAGTTCCAGCCTTGCTGATTCCAGTCCAACACCAGGTAAGCTCCAGAACCCTACAGCCTCCAACTACCAACATAAGAGGCCCCAGCTCCCAAAGCCAGTGACCAAGACTTAGGCTCCCAACACAAGAAGCTTGGGTCAGTGCCCTCTGCTCCCCAGCAGGAGACCATAATCTCTTTAAAGACCAGGGAATAAAGAAACACCATGAGTAAAAAGAAACATACAACAGATTCGTATTATGAGAAGAGTGAAGATCAAGACAGAAATTCTGAAGAGGACAACATTGTCATCAAACCCACATCTGCAACATCAAAAGGGAATATGAACTGGTCTGAAGCCCAAAAGGCCTTCTTAGAAGAGCTCAAGAGGATTTTAAAAGTCAAATGAGAGAGGTGGAGGAGTCCTTAAAAAGAACAATTGACCAACTGGAAAAAAGTACACTGAAGAAAACAAATCCCTTAACAATACAATTGACTAATTGGAGAAGAAAGTACAAAATCTAACAGAAGAAAACAATATGTTAAAAATTAGAATTGAACAAATGGAAACTAATGGCTCTATGAGAGAGCAAGAATCAGTCAAACAGAAACAAAAAAATGAAAAAAATAGATGAAAACGTAAAATACCTCATGGGTAAAACAACTGACCTGGAAAATCGATCCAGCAGAGACAATTTAAAAATTATAGGCTTACCTGAAAGTCATGATGAAAAAAAGAGCCTGGACAATATCATTGAGCAATAGAACCAGAAGGTAATATAACTATAGAAAGAATCCACCGCTCCCCACCTGAAAGAGATCCCAAATTGAAAATGCCAAGGAATATAATAGCTAAATTCCAAAATTAATTCCAAAATTCTCCAGATTAAAGAGAAATTACTGCAAGCAGCCAGAAAGAATCAATTTAAATATCATAGAACCATAGTCAGGATTACATAGGACCTTGCAGCCTCTACATTAAAAGACCATAGGGCATGGAACATGATATTCCTTAAGGCAAAGGAGCTTTGAACTCAGCCAAGGATTAACTACCCAGTGAAAATGAGCGTGATTTTTCAGGGAAGGAGATGGATATTCAACAAAATAGGGGATTTCCAAACCTTCCTGATAAAAAGACCAGAGCTCAACAAAAAATATGACCTTCAAGTACAAGATTCAAGAGAGACATAAAAAGGTAAATGGGACAGAAAGATACAATATATTGTTAATAAGGGCAAAATGTTCACATCCCTACAAGGGAATATGACACTTACAACTCTTCAGAACTGTATTGTTATTATACCATGTTAAAGGAGTATACATAAAGGGGGTGGATATAAGTTGACACTGATGTAATGAGAAAAAAAATTTAATCAGGTGGGTTAAGTGGATCCAAGTAAGTGGATTAGTCTGAGCTAAGAAAATGTACTGAGAAAGGAGGAGGCAGACAAGGGTAAATTACATTACAGGAAAAGACACGAAAACCTATTAGAGCAGAGGTAAAGAAGGAAGGGGGATGAGCATTGTTTGAACCTTACTCTCATCAGATTTGGCTCAAGAAGGGAATAACATAGTCAGTTAGGTATAGAAATCTAACTTGCACTATAGGCAGTAGGAGGGAAAAGGGGAAAGAAAAGGGAGGGGGGATAGAAGGGAGGGAAAAAGCAGTAAGGGGAAAGGGGAAGAAAGGGGAAAGGGATAATAGAAGGGAGGTGGGACTGAAGGAGGTAGTGGTCAAAAGCAAAACACTAGTGAAGGGGGAAGGAGAAAGGAGAAAGAAAAGCATAAATGGGGGAGGGAAAGGATAGAGAAAAAGACACAGATAGTAATCATAACTGTGAATGTGAATGGGATGAACTCTCCCATGAAAAGGAAGTGTATAGCAGAATGGATTAAAAACCATAATCCTACAATATGTTGTTTACAGGAAACACATTTGAAAAAGAGTGACACACACAGGGTAAAGGTAAAAGGCTGGAGCAGAATATATTATGCTTCAGCTGAAGTAAAAAAAGCAGGGGTAGCAATCCTGATCTCAGACAAAGCAAAAGCAAAAATAGATCTTATCAAAAGAGGTAAGGAAGGAAACTATATCCTGCTAAAAGGCACCATAGACAATGAAGTAAAATGGTATAACACCCAGATTCTTAGAGGAGAAGTTCAGGGAGTTGCAGGAAGAAAGAGACAGTAAAACTATACTAGTGGGGGACCTCAACCTCCCCCTCTCTGAACTAGATAAATCTAACCACAAAATAAACAAGAAAGAAATTAAGGAGGTGAATAGAACATTAGAAAAGTTAGGTACGATAGACCTCTGGAGAATCCGGAGAACAGTCAGAACTGGGCCTCCAGGATAGGAAGGCCCTGAGGAGCATTCTGTAGGAGGCTGCGGGGTGGGAGCAGCTAGGTGGCCCAGTGGATAGAGCACAAGCCCTGGAGTCAGGAGGACTTGAGTTCAAATCCAGTCTCAGACATGATACTTACTAGCTGTGTGACCCTGGGCAAGTCACTTAACCTTGATTGCTTCGCCCACCCCCCCAAAAAACATTGTAGGAGGCTGGGGAAGAACAGCCTTAGGCCACATGATCTTCCAATGGGATTGGAAAGCTGGGCAGGTGGGGGAGGGCTTTGAAGGTTTGGTTTGGCCCAAGAGGGTCAAAAGAAGGAAGAACTGCCTGGGGAAGGGGTGAGCTCCCTGTTCTTAGAGCCCTGTAGACAGGGGCTACCCAGCTATTAGGCCCAGCAGTTGGCAGAGGTGGGGCTTAACTTCAGATATGGGGCCCATCTATCCTGTGGTCTGAAGGGTCCTGTTCTACAAGCATTTCAAGCCAAAAAGCACTGAGCACCTACTGTGTGCCAGGCACTGTGGTTTTGGCTTGGGTGAGCTGAAGGGTGGAGGAAGACCATGGGAGTACCAAGAGGCCCTGCCCAGGATGAGGTGAAGGGGTAGAGGGAGCAGGGGAGCCAGAGGACGCTGATTCGAACACTATAGGTAGGGCCTTGGAGGTGAAAGGTGACAGAGAAAATGTCCAGGGGAGCACTGCAGGTCCCAACATCCCCGATGAACTGAGCAGGTTTGGGGGAAATGGGCATGAGCAGCCCTCAGGTAGGACTAGAGACCGTCTGGGGCATCCATGCTGTGGGACATGTCCAGCAGGCAGGTGAGAGGGGGGAGCCCAGGCTGGAGGGAGAGCTTTGGAAGTCCTCCAAGCGCAGGTGATAAGGGCCACTCCCACTCCTCTCTCCTTGGAAAGATAGCACGGAGGGAAGGGGCCCAGGTAAAGTGCCTGGGGGATGCCCGTGAAGAGGGGTCTGGGAGTGAAGTCCATTCGGCAGAGGGACAGCAGGAGCTCAGCCAAGGAGAAGGGGAGGAGAGGAGGCCTGCCCCGGGAGGAGCCCCAGGAGGAAGGAGGAGAACCACAGACTTGTGAGCACAGGCTTTCAAAGAAGTCCAGGAAAGTCTGGAGCCAAGCCTGGCAAAGAAGCCTCCGGCTGGATTGGAATCAGCCCCTCCATCGGCCGACTTCTATTGGAGGGTGGGCTGGGGTGGCCTGGCGAGGTCAGAGGTGAAGAATAAGCGTGCAAACCGCACACGAGGGACGAGGAGGAAAGAGAAGTCGGGAGACGATCCCCGGCCGGTGGCAGCTGGAGGGGGCTCCCGTCGAGGGGCAGTCCTCGTCAGGGAATTTAGGACGTGCGCCTCTCGCCAGGCCTCGCTGCCCCCAGGCTCCTGGGAAACTCTCTGGGTTCCTGAGCGTCTTTTTCTCCGTCTGAGCTCTGTGAGTCTCTGGCCTCGGGAGTGTTTGTGGCTCTCCTGGGACCAAAGGCTGGCTGATAACACGACCGACCTTCAGTCTTCGGGGAGGGAGGGGATACCAAAGTCAGCCAATAAGCAGCCTCCGAGAGGCAGGGATCGAGGGGTGGTAGTCCAGAAACCGCGAGGGAACCGCAGAGATGGAGAAGGTTCTGCGCTGGGGGATACTGTCCGCCGGCCTCATCTCCCATGACTTCGCCACCGCCCTGAGGAGCCTGCCCCGCTCCGAGCATCAGGTCCCGCCGCCTCTCGACGCCAGAGGGGACGCCTGGCTTCCAGGGGGAGGCTAGACGTGGGGAAGCCTAGGTCCCCACAGAGTGGACGGAGGGAGGCTGGGGCTGGGGGAGGGGAGCCGGGATCGCCCACAGGAGGGGCTGGGCTCGCCCAAGACCCCCGGGGAGCGTGGCTAGGGAGGGGAGGCGCTGGGATCGCTTCGGTAGACGGGGCTGGGGGAAGGGAACCGGGGTCGGCTCTGGGCTCCAATCGGCCCGGAAGCTGTGACTGGGCTAGCCGAGACCGCTAGGGAGCGCCCTAGCTCTGAGTCTGGGTGGGCTCTGAAAGGGGTCTCTGGCCCTAGATAGCAGCCGTGGCCGCCAGAGACCTGGGCCGGGCCCAGGACTTCGCCCGAAGGCACGAAATCCCCAAGTCCTATGGCTCTTACGAAGAACTGATGAAGGACCCAGACGTGGGTGAGACCCGAGCCCAGGGACCTCTAGGGACTGCAGGAGGGAGAGCAGCGGGGCGGGGCTCGGAAGGCGGGGGACGTTCTAGGGGGCGGAGACCCAGCGGGAGGGGCGTGGCCTCAGCGGCAGGATCGCCGTGGGGGGCGGGGCCTCAGCGAGAGGATCCTCCTGGGGGCGGAGCCTCAGCGGCAGGATCGCCTTGGGGGGCGGGGCCTCAGCAAGGACGATAGTCCTGGGGGCGGAGCCTCAGCGGCAGGATCGTCTTGGGGGGCGGGGCCTCTGCCTCGACCCCGCCCCTCAGGCTCTGGCCCGTCCGCAGACGTGGTGTACGTCAGCCCTCAGCACCCGCAGCACCTGGGCGCTGTCCTGCAGTGCCTGGCGGCGGGCAAGCCGGTCCTGTGTGAGAAGCCTCTCGGGGTCACTGCCGCCGAGGTCCGGGAGATGGTGGCGGCCGCGCGGGCTCGCGGCCTCTTCCTGATGGAGGTGAGAGCGGCGCCTACCGGCGCCTCCCGGTGGTGGAAGTCCGCAACGACAGCCGCAGTCCCTCCCGGGGCCGAGCCCTCAGGGGAGTTGCAGTGTGGGAGGGGTGCGGGGTGAGAGTCTGCAGCGCCGAGGGGCCTTCCCGGAGTGCTGGGCCCCAGCGGGCTCTGCCCCCATCCCGCTTGCCCTGCAGGCCATCTGGACGCGGTTCTTCCCCGCCACCGAGGCGCTGCGGGCTCTGCTGTCCCAGGGCACCCTCGGGGAGGTGCGTCTGGTCCGCGTGGACTTTGGCTTTGAACTTGACGGGTTTCTGGATCGCTCCACGGACTGGGCCCAGGCGGGGGGCGGGCTGCTGGACCTGGGGATCTACTGCGTCCAGCACATCTCCATGGTGGGCGGGGGCCGGCGGCCTGAGAAGATCCACGCCGTGGGGCTGCTCCGTGACAACGGTAGGGGGGAAGAATTCGGGGTCTCCCGAGGCTTGGGGGGGGCTCCCCCAAAGCTTGGCTGCTGGGTGCTAGTGAGGGATTAAAGTGTGGGGAGCGATGCCACCTCCCGGCTGACCAGTGGTGTGTCCTGCCAGGCGTGGACGACACAGTGACAGTCGTCCTGCAATACCCTGGTGGGCTCCAGGCCTCCTTCACCTCTAGCATCACCACTAAGCTGTCCAACTCATTGACGGTGTTTGGAACCAAGGGCAAGGCAGAGGTGAGAGCAGCCTGGGCCCCAGGGTCACCCACGGCCTGTTGCCAGGGGGCAGTAGGCCTGGGACAGTGCGGGAAGGTGAGTGTGTGACCTCTTGCTGAGGCCGCTCTCTCCTCCCAGATCCCTTTCACCATGTGGTGCCCCACCGAGCTGGTGGTGAATGGGAAGAGCTCCCAGTTCCCGTTGCCCGAGGTGGCAGACACGGAGATGTTCAATTTCATCAATTCCATCGGCATGGTCTATGAAGCCCAGCATGTGCGGCAGTGTCTGCTGCAGGGTGAGCTGGGGAAGCCCCCGGGATGACAAGGACGGAGGCCTCTCGTGGGGTCCCTGACACTCCCACCTCCTGCAGCATGCTGGGAGAGCCGGGCTTGCCCTGCTCATGATCCTCCTTCCTTCCCTAGGCCTGAAGGAGAGCCCTGTGATGCCCCTGGCAGAGAGTGAGCTCTTGGCAGATATCCTGGAGGAAGCAAGGCGGCAGATTGGGCTCAGGTTCCTCCAGGACAGAAGCTAAGCTTCCAAACTATTGCCCAGTGAAGAAATCCCTGCCCAGCAGTTTGTCACCCACGTTCCTACTCTTCAGCATGGCCCCGAGGGCTGCCTTGCTCTGGCCCTGAGTCTTGGCCCTGCCCCTATCTAGGATGTGATCTATCCCTGCCTTTCTTAGCCTCAGGAGGTTTTCTGGAATAAAGGGAATCCCACTCCATTGGGTCTCAGCATAGAGTCTCCCTCCACTTTACACAGGGGGAAACTGAGTCCCTGAGAAAAGAAGGGTGACCCTCCAGCTCCATGGTTCTAGGACTCATGCGTTGAACAACAGAAAAGAAGCAGTTCAGAGGGGACTGGGCTCAGGCCTGGACCTGGAGTTTCAGTCTCAGCTCTGCCTCTTCTGCATTTCTGGGCCTCAGTTTCCTCATCTGTAAGGTGAAGGAATTGCTATAGGTATGGCTAGAATTCCTAGCTAAAGCAAAGATAAAGGCAGGGCCTTGCTGGAGGCGTCTCAGGCACTTTGGAAATCTGAAAACACTGCAAATCAGGGCTTGATTTATTGTGTGCTTGACTGGACAGACTTCATCAAGTGATGAAGAAAATGTTATTAATGCAGATTAAGCTGGAAACTGCGTTGTACATTCCCTCCTCCCGGAGCCTTTAGTTAATGGTTTATCAGCAGACCAGAAGATAAAATTGTCAATATACGTTACATTAAATTGAAAAGTTTACAAAGGAACAGCATCAATGTAGTTAGAGTAGGAAAAGAAACGATTAATTTGGGGGGAAATCTGCCTCAGGTATCTCTGAGAAAAGTCTGACATTCAGGATACATAGAGAGTTGGTTCTTTTCATGTGTGGGTTGGGCTACATGGTGGCAGGCTGAGGTTGTTTCCTGATTCTGTGACACAAACAAATACATGAGAACCAGAGCCATTCCTCAGTAGATTAAGTAGACAGAGAATACAAACAGGAAATTTTCAAAATAAATCCAAACTATCAACAACTAATACTCCAAGTCACTAATGACAAGAAATACAGATGAAGACAACTCTTAATATTTCACCTGAAACCCATCAGGTTGGCAAAGATGACAAGCAAAAATGGTAATGATTATCTATAGTCATATGAAAAGATGCTCTAAATCACTGTTGATTAGAGAAATGCAAATCAAAACAACTCTGAGGTACCACATCACACCTATCAGAATGGCCAACATGACAAAACAAGAAAATGATAAATGTTGGAATAGACGTGGGGAAATTGGAACACTAATGCATTGTTGGTGGAGTTATGAAATGATCCAACCATTTTGGAGAGCAACTTGGAACTACACCCAAAGGTCTATAAAAATGTGCATACTCTTTGACCCAGCAATAGCACTTCTAGGACTATATCCCAAAGAGATTATACAAATGGGAAAAGGACCCACATGTACAAAAATATTCATAGCAGCTCTTTTTGTGGTGGTAAAGAATTGGAAATTGAGAGGATGCCCATCAATTGGGGAATGGCTGAGCAAGTTGTGGTGTATGAATGTAATGGAATACTATTGGGCTATAAGAAACGATGATGAGGCTGACTTCAGAAAAACCTGCAAAGACTTGTACGGTCTGATGTTGAGTGAAGTGAGTACAACCAAGAGAACATTGTACACAATAACATCCATGTTGTGTGATGACTAATATTGATAAACTTAACCCTTCCCAGCAATACAAGGATCTAAGACATCTCCAGGGGCCTCGTGATGGAAAATGCTATTCACATCCAAAGAAAGAACTATGGAATTTGAATGCAGATCAAAGCATACTATTTGCAATTTTTTTTCCTCTTCTGTTGAGTTTTGTTTCCTTTTTCTGGTGGTTCCTCCTATTGGTTCTAATTCTTACTTGCAACATCACTAATGTGAAAATATGTTTGATGGGATATGTATAGCCTGTATCAGATTGTGTGCTGTCTTGGGGAGGGTGGTGGGGATGAAGGGGGAGAAAAAATTTAAACTCAAAAGCATATGGAAGTGATTGTTGATAAATCAAAATAAATTAATAAAAACATAGTAATGATTGACGTGTCTTTGAGAAGACAGTCACACTAATACATTGTTGGTGGAGTGCTAAATTGATGTAGCCATTCCGGAAAACTTTTTGGAATTCTGCTAAGATCATTCCTCTGTGCTTACCTTTTGACCAGTAATAATAAGCATTGTTAGGCAATACCCCAAGAAGATCAAAGACAGAAGGAGAACACCCAAATGTACAAAAATATTTATAGCAGCCCTTTTCCTAACAGAAAGGAACTAGAAAGAAACAAAGAGCCAATCAGTTGGAGGATGGTTCTCTATGGAGAAGGGAAGAATTTATGACCAAACAAGACAGAGAACATTTATGAAATGCAAAATGGCTAATTTTGATTACATTAAATTAAAAAGTTCTTGCACAAACAAAGCCAATGCAACCAAGATTAGAAGGAAAGCAGAAAGTTGGGGAATAATTTTTACAGCCAGTGTTTCTGATAAAGACCTCATTTTTAAATATATAGAGAACTGAGTCAAATATATAAGAATTCAAGTCATTCCCCAATTGATAAATAGTGAAAGGATATGAACAGGCAGTTTTCAGAGGAAGAAATTAAAGCTATCTATAGTCATATAAAAATGTTGTAAATCACTGTTGATTAGAGAGATGAAAATTAAAACAATTCTAAGGTGCCATCTCACACCTATCAGATTGGCTGATATAACAGAAAAAGAAAATGATAAATGTTGGAGAAGATATGGGAAAATTGGAACATAATGCATTGGTTGGTGGAATTGTGAATTGATCCAACCATTCTGGAGAGCAATTTGGAACTATGCCCAAAGGGTATAAAAATATGCAATATCCTTTGGTCAAGCAATACCACTACTAGGTCTGTATTCCAAAGAGATCGTAAAAAAGGGAAAAGGATCCACATGTACAAAAATATTTATAGCAGCCTTTTTTTTTTCCTGTGGTAACAAATTGGAAATTGAGGGGATGCCCATCCACTGTGGAATTGCGGTGTGTGTTTGAGATGGAATACTGTTGTGTGATAAGAAATGACAAACAAGGGGGCAGCTAGGTGGCACAGTGGATAGAGCACAGGCCCTGGAGTCAGGAGGACCTGAGTTCAAATCCAGCCTCAGACACATAATACTTCCTAGCTGTGTGACTCTGGGCAAGTCACTTAACTCCAATCGCCTCACTAAAAAAAAAAAAAAAGAAAGAAAGAGATAACCAACAAGATGGTTTCAGCAATACCTGGAAAGACATGCATGAACTGATGCTTAGTGAAGTGAACAGAACCAGGAGAAACATTGTAGACACCAACAGCAACAAAGTGCAATGATCAACTTTGATAGAGTTAGCTCTTCTCAGCAATACAATGATCTAAGACAATTTCAAAGGACTCATGATAGAAACTACTATCCACACCCAGAGAAAGAACTATGGAGTCTAAATGCAGATTGAAGCAGAGTATTTTCACTTTTTTTCTGTTGTATCTTTCTCCTGGTTTTTCTGTTTTATTCTGATTCTTCTTTCACAACATGACTAATGTGGAAATATGTTTAATGTGCTTATACGTGTATAACCTATATCAGATTGTTTGTTGTCTTGGGGAGGGGGGAGAGAAGGGAGAAAAAATTTGGAACTTAAAATCTTATAAAAGTGAATGTTGAAAACTTTCTTTACATGTAATTGGAAAATATGAAATGCTGTTAAGTGGAAAATAAACCAAAATGCATATGAGGAATTTATTGAGGAATAATGAGGAATTTATATAGTGATTTAATATTTGCAAAGTGCTTACGTTATTTCATGGTCACAACAACCTAGCAAGGTAGGTGCCATTTTCCTCATTTTGTAGTTGAGACCCTGAGGCAGGTAGAGGTTAAGTGACTTGCCAAGGTCACACAGCTGGTAAGTGTCAGAGAGAAGGGGGAGGGAGTGGGAAGCAGGCATGGGAGATAGCAAGTGCAGCAGGCAGATTGGAGGGTCTGTTTAATGCGTCTAGAAGGGTAGTTTGGAGCCAGCTTGCGAAGGACTTTAAATACAAAACAGTGGAGTTCATATTTGACCCTGGAAAGACTAGGGAGTCCATGGAGTTGATTGAGTCAGACCTGAGCTTGAGGAGTGTTACTGATGGTGAAGCTGGGTGAGTATGGACTCAAAGTGTGGAATAAGACACACCTTCAGGCTAATGTGTGGGTTTGTTCTCTTTGACTTCTGGGTTAATCACAAGCGGTAGTGGTGAGTCTTTGGGATTCTAGAAAGATTGAAAGAACAAAACATCAAAGTTCTGGTGAAAGAAAGGAAAAAAAGAAAAACAGAGCCCCTGCCCTGGAGGAGCTCCCAATCTGATAGGGGAGATGAGCAGACCAGTATGTACTAACAAGATGTGTGTGTATACATCCATATTCATATATTTGTTTATGTGTATGTTTTATGAGGAGTATGGATACTTCATATATTATATATTTATGTAGATATGTGTGTATATATATGCATACACACATATTTGTATATGTTGTTCAGTTGTTTCTGGTCATATCCAACTCTTCATGACCTTCTAGGGGTATTCTTAACAGAGATATTGGAATGGTTTGCCATTTCTTTTTCTAGCTCATTTTACAAGTCACTAATTGACTTGCCCAGGGTCACACAGCCAGTAAGTGTCTGAGGCCACATTTGAACTCAGAAATATGAGTCTTCCTGACTTCAGGTCCTTTCCTCTAATGGTACACATAATCTCTCTCTTTCTCCCTCCCTCCCTCCCTCTCTCTCTCTCTCTCTCTCTCTCTCACACACACACACACACACACACACACACACACACACACACACACACAGACACATACACATTCTATCCCTTCTCCAGCAGACTGTCCCTCTATCATCCCCACTATCTCACTTATCTTCAGTCTCTCCCTATCTACTGGCTCCTTTCCTACTTCCTACAAACAGACCATGTCTCCCCATCCTTCAAAAACACTCACTTGCTTCATTTCTCTCTAATAGCTATCATCCCTCATCTCTCTTCCCATCCATGGTTAAACTCTTGGAGAAGGTCGTCTGCCGTAGGTGCCTCAGTCTACTTCTTGTCTTCTACAGCCTGTTTTCTCACCTCATCATTCAACCCAAACTGCTCTTTCTAAAGTGACTAGCAATCTCTTCCTTGCCCAATCCAATGGCCTTTTCTCCCTCCTCATCCTTCTTGACTTCGCTACAGCCTTTGATGCGGTCAATCCCCCTCTCTTCTTTACTTCTCTCTTTTCTGTTTTCTGGGCACTCCTCTCTCCTGGTTCTTCCATCTGCCCACTCCTTAGTCTCCTTTGCTGGATCTTCATCCAGGTCACTCCCACTAACTGTGGGTGCTCTGCCTGGGCCCTCTTCTCCCTTTATATTACTTCCTTTGGTGGCCTCATCAGCTCCCATGGACTCAATGATCCATCTCTCTGCTGATGATTCTGAGATCTATTTGTCCAGCCCTGACCTTCACTCTCATAGCTCTAGCTGCCTATTAGACATCTTGAATTGGATCTGCTATAGAAATTGTAAACCCAACATGTCCCAAAGTGCTGGATCAGGAAAGGCTTCCTGGAGAAGGTGGACATTTAGCAGGGACTTGAGAAAACCAGAGAAGCCAGGAAGGAGGCAGAGATGATGAGGGATCGAGTTCCAGGCATGGAGGGCAGCCAGAAAAAAATGCTCAGAGCATCTAGAACAAGCAACAGCAAGGATTGGAGAAAATGGAGAGGAAGCACCCAGTGGTTGAAGTCACTCTTCCCCGAAGTTGACATTCGTAGCAGTGGCTCATTTCAGCCTCTGGCCACACCAATGCCTATGCCCATCCTCTGGCTCCTCTCCAGCAGCTCTCCATGTAGCAACCTAAGGGCTAGTGCTAGGAGCCACCAGGAGGAAGAGGCCACTGATCCACGCCCCCACCCCCAGCAGCTCTCAGGGTCCACTTCTCAGCCTCCAGCCACATGGAAACTGAGGGAGAGACATTTTCAGACATGGCCAATATGGGAATTTGTTTTGGCAGATTATGTGGTTATGTATTGAAGACTTATACTGTTGTTATTGTTTAAAATTTTCTAAATGGTTGGTGGCAGAAAGGACAGA